TGTTTGGCTAGTGTGAGGGCTCGCATGAGGGATATAAGTTCTGCCTTTTGTGAAGATGTCCCAGGTGGCAATAGGCCTGCCTGTATTTCTTCGAAGCTGTTGACTATGGCATATCCTGCCCTCTTTTGAGTGTCTGTGTCAATTGAACTGCTATCTATGAGCCATGTGTCAGAGGCTGTAGGAATGGGACTGCTGGTAATGTGGGGAAAATGAGTAGGGGTCATCTGTAAGACCTCAAATCAATCATGGTGAGGGCTCTCATCAGAGGTGGGGAGTAAGGTGGTTGGGTTGAGGGGATTGCTGGTGGAGATAGTAATGGAAAGGTCTTGAATGAGAAGTAAATGAATCTGCTGTAAATGAGAAGAAGTCATCAGGGCAGGGAGTGTTTTGTGTGAGATGAGTTCATTAAGGGAGTGAGGTGAGTGAATTGTGATTGATTGTCCTAAAGTGAATTTTTTGGCTTCCTGTGTTAATGTGGTTGCTGCAGCAAAAGCCCAGAGGCAAGGGGCCCATCCACATGCCATGCTGTCTGTTTTGAGAGATATGTTACCACTTGGAAGAAAGGTCCCTTTTTGCGTCCTAGAACTCTTACCACGTTATAATCCTGAGAGGTAGTGTATAGAGTGAAGGGTTGAGTTGGATTTGGAAGACTGAAAGCAGGGACTTGTAAGAGGGCCTTTTGTAATTTGTGAAAGGAAAAATGTATGGGAGTAGTAGGGTCAAAGGGTTCTGACAGGCACCCCTTGGTTGCTTTATAGAAAGGTTGAGCTAGAGAGTCAAAGTTGGGAATCCAAAGGCAGAAGAAATTAGCAGACTATTAGGGTTCTGGTGCAAGTAAAAACAGAACAAAGTAAAAGTGCCCTTATTGTGGGTAAGGAAAAGACCACAGAGAAGAGGGGAGATGTGGAGCTTCTGAGGGCCTGGCCAGGGGAACAAAGGCTATATAAGGTGAGGCCGGAGGTGGGGTTTAAGGGGGTGGTCTGCATGATGTAGCAGGTAATGATTGGGCAGAAGGTGGGAAAAAGGAAACAGAATGCTATAAAAAGGAGGTAAGAAGTTGTAATTTGACCAGGGAGGAGGAAGGCAGGGCTTGTCACATGGCCTTCCTTGTCCTGTGCCATATTGGCTCACTGCCATGATGACTTAGAATTTTTACATAGACAGAAACCCATCGTTCTCTGCTTTTAGTTATATGGGGTAACGACCTCTCAGGCTGCTTCCTACTGAGAAGAGGCATTGCCATGATAGAGGGAGAGGAGATGATGGGCATTGCCTATGTAGAAGCTGGTGTTGGGTGTGTCAGTTAGAATGATGAATTCATTAGTGGCAACTGTGAAGCATGAACTGGACAAAATTAACAAAAATATTTAAAAACATAGGGTGCTATGAGTGGACAGGTCATTACCATGATTACAGGACCTAGAAGAGGCAGCAGGAAGGGGGGCCCATAATCTGAATGTGTCGTTCCACCATGACCATGGTGAGAGGAAAGAGTACTGATATTTTAGCTCTTTGCATTGGCATTCTAGCCAGTTTCAAAGGCTCTTTACCTTGTCCATGATGATCCCTGACTCATTTACAAAGTAACAACAATCTTCTCCCAGCATAGCACATGTACCCCCTTTTTTGGCTATCAGGACATCAAGAGTGCAGTGGTTTTGGAGGGTAACTGTTGCAAGGCTATTAATCTGGTTCTGAAGTGAGTGAATAGTGGGTGTCATAACATGTATTCTTTGGTAAAGCTTGAGGGAGTTCTGGTCATAAAGCTGTTTGGCTTGAATGCCCAGGCCTATTCTCCCTGCCCCCAAACCAGCTCCTAGGACTGTGAAAATGCTTACTCCAATAAAGATTGGAACGTCAAGGGCTCTTGTTTTGTAAGTGAGATGGGTGAATACTGGGGTGAGGGCATGTCTTTTGGGATGAGAGGAAGAAGGCAGGAAGGATATGGTTGTTGAGAAGCTAATTTGGCTTGTGTGTCAGCAAAAACATTATTACCCTGAGCAATGGGATCTGTTGGAGTATGGTGTCTCCTGCAATGAATGGCTACCACCTGTTTTGGGAACTGTGCTGCCTCTAGAAGTTTGAGGATGAGAGGTGCATTGGTGATGGCGGTACCCTGAGCATTGAAGAATCCTCTTTCTTGCTAGATGGCAGCATGAGAGTAGAGAATACTGAATGTGTACTTGGAACAGATGTTTATGGTTTATGGTTTTGTCTCTGGCTAGTGTGAGGGCATACGTGAGGGCCATAACCTCTGCCTTTTGTGAAGATGTCCCAGGTGGCAGTGGACCTGCTTCTATTACTATTGACCCACTGACTATGGCATATCCTGCCCTCTTTTGAGGGTCTGTGTTTGTTGAGCTGCCATCTATGAACCATGTGTCAGAGGCCATAGGAAGAGGAATGTTGTTCGTATGAGGAAAGGAAGTTGGAGTCATCTGTAAGACCTCAATACAATTGTGTTGAGAATGCTTATTAGGGATGGAGAGTAAAGTATCTGGGTTGAGGGGCCCACTGGTAGCAACGGTAATAGAAGGGTCTTGTCTTAAGGTGAACTTTTTTGCCTACTGTGTTATTGTGGCTGGTGTAGCAAGGGCCCAGAGACAGGGAGCCCATATGTGTATTGTGTTATCTAGTTATTTTGAGATATATGCTATTACCTGAAATGAGGTTCACTTTTTAAGTCCTAAGATTCCCACAGCACTGTGATCCTGAGAAGAAGTACACAAAATGAAATGTTGGGTTTGGTTAGGTAGAGTGAGTACTGGGGCTCTTTAAAAAGCCTCTTGTAGCTTGTGAAAAGAGGGTTGAATAGCTGGGGTGGGGTCAGGAGTTTCTGACAGGAGCCCTTGGACACCTTATAGAGAGGCTGAGCTAAGGAGGCAAAGTTAGGAATCCAGAGATGAAAGAAGTTTGCTAAATCAAGGAAGGAGAGGACTTGCTGTTTTGTAGGTGGGACTTGAAGGTCATGGAGAAGAGCTCTGCAATCAGTAGTGATTGAGTGACTGGTTGGAGTGGGAGTAAGTCTCAAATATTTACCTTTGGTGAAGGTATTGGGCCTTGCATGGAGAGACCTATATCTTCGTTCTGACAGAAAATTAAAGAGCATGGCTGTGTGTTGTATTGCCAGGGTATGTGAGGGGGAGCAGAGGAGGAGGTTATCAATGTACTGGAGTAAAATGCTGGGTTTGAATTTGAGGGTTTCTAGGTCAGTAGCTAGAGCTGGGCTAAAGAAATGAGGACTATCCCTGAAACCCTGAGGCAATGCTGTCCATGTGAATTATAAGGATTGGAGAGTATCTGGGTCTGTCCATGTAAAAGTGAAGAGATTTTGGAAATCTGGGTGCAGGGGAATAGTGAAGAAGGTGCCTTTGAGGTCTAGAACCATAAAGAGGGTTGTGGATAGAGGAATATGAGAGAGCATGGTATAAGGATTTGATACCATGGGATGAATAGATGTAACTGCATTACTGATAACCCTGAAGTCTTGAACTAAACGATAGGAGCCTTTGGGTTTGATTACTGGGAGGATGGGAATATTGTAAGGCGAGTGGGTGGCTGTAAGGAAGCCATTGGCAAGGAGATGCTGGATAATGGGCTTGAATCCCTGTTCATGTCTAGAGGATATTGGGTATTGAGGAAATAGGGAAAAGTTAATGGGTGCCTGAAGCAGATAGAGATGGGGATAGCATGTGTGGCACAGGAAGGGCTGGAAGTGTCCCAGATATTGGCATCTACCAGTGAAAGGAAAAGGGGAGGGTCAGGATTACTGCTGAATAGTGATTTGGTTTGGTGGATGAGAGGTATAGGGAGAGAAAAGGTGAAAGACAAGTCGAGTTTTTGGAGAAGGTCCCTACCCATGAGAGGTGTGGGGCAATTTGGAATGGTGAGGAAGTTGTGAGTAAAAAAGAGTGTCTGAAGCTGGCAAGGAACAGGTCCTATCTGAAGTGGCTTTGTAGGTCAGCCATCAATCCCCACAGTAGAGATAATGGATCAAGTACAATGGCCTGAAAACTCAGGAAGAACACTCTATGT